GTCGAGGGAATGCAAAAACGAAAATCTAAAGACGAGCACAGGAATCAAAATGCAAAAGGAACTGTAGTAGTTCTGAAGTGGAGGTACTGCTACAGGAAGTGAGCCACAAACAAGCAGTTAAGTGTTAATGTAGCATTCATTTATTTTAAAAGACCATAATGCTTTGTAAAATAACAAAAGTTATTTTTTTAAATATTAAAAATGACAAAAATACTATCATAATTTAAATAATATAATATTATTTATAATTATTACATAATTATATAACTATAGAACATTAAAAAATGCAATAACCAGTTATTTTGCTCAAACCTGGCAGCACTCAAATGTGTGTAAGAGTGCTCTTGAGTGTGAGTAGATTCAGTTCTTACAGAGAACAAATCCCAAATAAGAAAACATTGGTGAATGTCAGAATATTTGTATAAAGTGCGTAAGTGGGTTTTAAGAAGAAATTTCTTCTTAAGAATGGTCGGTGAATGAGGCCTATTGATCGTTACTCCCAGTGAAACTAATACAACACAGAAGTATCTGAAGTCACACTAAGAACAAACTGAGGAGACAGTGGAACAAGAATAGACTGACAACAAGTTCGAATTATCTTCAGCTGCTGTTGTTTTTGTTGATCTGTACCAACTGTGTGTGTGTGTGTGTGTGTGTGTGTGTGTGTGTGTGTGTGTGTGTGTGTGTGTGTGTGTGTGTTCAGAGGAACATCAGTGAGGACAAAGGTGTGGGTCCCTGGCTGCTCGCTCTCTTCATTTTTGTCGTCTGTGGATCAGGTGAGTCTTCCTCCTCCTCTTCTTCTCCTTTTTAACATCCACGAACACATATGCAACCATAATCATCACACACACATCCTATTCATTGTTTATCAGACATTTTAACAATTTTCAATAACAAAGAAATCCATATAAAAGTCTGACACAGGCACAAACTCTCCTCATTGATGTTCAAGTTTGTTCTCTGGTTTTATTTTCTACAGTTAATTATTTGCTAGAATAATTAGTTTCTTGGGTAAATATGACTTTCACAAAACCACAATAATACTATAATACAACTCCATACTGTGTATAATTATAATAATATTATTATTGTTGTTGTTAAATTATTATTATTATCATTATTATTATTATTATCTGTAGATTCTAAAAAAAACTCAGTGAAGAAACATCCTGGTCTCAGGAATATTGTGGGCTGGTTCTAGATTAGATCATTAGTGTTTTTATATCAGCATACATGTATAGTTTTTAAATTAATTTGTATATATATTTATAAATGAATGTTATGTTTTGTCCTCTGAGTTTATTAACAAACACTAATAATCAAATATAAGAACATAGAGACAATACACTGATCAATAAATATAAAATTTTCTAATCAGCTGTAAAATTTGAAGCTTTTATTCACTTTAAACAGCAACTTTAATTTACAGATTGTTTATTCTCCACCCTGCAGTCAGTGGATCTTGCATGAAACACACCTGAAGTCACTCTGCTCTGAGTGTCACTGTGACTTTAAAACACCTGGCAGGACAGGTGTGTGTGTTTTGGCAGTGGCTAAAAGATAATGCGGGGTATATCTGAGCATGCTCAGAAGTGACAGAGATCAGTTAAAGAACAGAGGGCTCACTCTGTCAGAGAGCTGAACCGGTGATCAAACAGACAAACATCAAAGTCCATCGTTCAGTCCTGAGATCAGCTGACTCATCAGCTTATAAATCATTAAATACATTTAAATAAACCTGTTTACTAATGCTTAATGCTAATGTTTGTTAGCATGCTAATATTAAGATAAACAAGCAAATGAAACAGATGCATAGGAGCCTTAAAGAAATGAACAGTACACTTTGTGTACATACGAGGTGAACGTGTTGCATTCATATTCTCTGCTAAACCTCCGCTCAGTGATTTAAAATAAAATAGTTGAGGATCCATTCATTATAAATGTTGTGGAGCTTTTAACCTCATCTATGGTTAGGGCTCCTCCAATCAGAAACAACAGGCCATTCACACTGCAGAGAGAGAATAATGTCTCTTACTCACTACTTCTCCACCTGTGTTTGTCTGCAGCCATTTTCCAGATCATCCAAAGCATCAGAATGGGCATGTAGAGTGATGTCACCAGCAGGGGGTGGGGCTGACGATGGTGATGATGATGAAGGAACTACGAATGCCAACATCATCAGACCGTCACGCTCCCGCCTCGAACTGACCCCACCTGAACATTCCTGAACTCTGGCGGCCGCCTGCAGGCGTTCCTGCACAGAAGCAACCAAACAAACCCGGAAAACCAGCCCCTCGCCCCCTTGACCAAACCCTGCGCCCTGAAGACCTGTGTTTATTCCAGTTATCTGTATTGATTTAATGTGTCTCTGCTGTGACCTTCTCACAGTCTCCTGCCTGTAAACAAGCCATACATGTGCCATTCTCTGTTTAACTGTGCTTTAACCCCGCCCCCTCTGATTACACCTTATCAGCACAACCCAAGGGGGGTCACAGTCCAACCTGCTCCAGTAAACTGTTTACCCCAGACCAAAATAAATTAATCTGTGTGTTTGTGTTGTATCAGACATCTGCCCTTGTCACATTCCAGCTGATCTGATCTTTCCTGCTCCTCCTGATCCTCCTCTTCCTCCTCCTCCTCCTCCTCAGTGAAAACGAGATAAAGTGAGATGAAGGTCTTTTGAATCAGAAGGTTTGGAGGTGCTGACAGGTGTGTCTGCACTGTGTGCAGCCTCACCTGAACAAAGTGTTCGCAGAATAAAGTTTCATTTTGATGATTTTGTGTGTGTTTCCTGTCTGAAGATCAGTGCTGTTGATGAGAGTTGTTGGTCTCAAAGTCACACTCAGGGTCTACAGATTCATTCAGGACTTGTTGGTCTGGCTGTGACTCCACTGACTGAAAGTGAAGCACTGAGCAGCTTGTGGGAAACTGCTGAAGTTAGACCTTGTCACTTTTTTGGTCTTTGACTGTTTTTACCTCAGGCTGGTTTTGGTCATGAAATGCAGGGACTGATCACCATGGAAACATCCCATTTCTTTCTACATCAAAGGACAAGAACCACATCACATTTTACTTGCTTTCACTGAGATCTGAGAGGAAAACCAGTTTTCAGGATGACTGGGTGCAGTATCTCTGTTTCTCCACCTGATGGAGCTGTTGGACAGACCTATGGTGGTCAGACTTTCAGCACCACCAGAAAAGTGTCAGCACAGTTCACTGAGATCACTCTGAGCATGATGGAGCTTAGTCTATCCCACAATACACCACTGCCTCACCTCAGCCCAGGTGTTTGTGGTGAGGTAACTCTGATAAGAAATCAAAGGAAAAGTTCAGTTTTATTAGTTTGCACTAAAGTCTCATTTAAAGGAAATATTTACCAATAAACAACCAGTCAAAACAACAAACACACAACTCTGAAATCATAAGTCATGACATGAACGTACTTCAAACATACAGAAGCAAATTTTGAACAACTCAAACTTAAGTTGTATTCATGATTAATATTAATAATATTAATATTCCTTCATTACAAAACCACTGCTGAAAAACTGAAAATCATCACCTGTTCTTCCTGTTGTAATCACAAATGTTTCCAGTTCACTAGATTTTTCAACCTGAAATATTTCATGAAATATTTATTTGAAATTTTTTTTTTTATCTATTAGTATTCATGACCCAGGCCATTATCTTAATGATAATATTCATTAAAATGTTGCTGACTTAAAGTATTTATCTATTGTCCTGCCTGTACCAAACTCCATTCAAAAAGGAAACACTTTGTTGTTATCTTGTTTAAAGTACACTCCGACATAAAGGACCTTCTTATAGTTTTATTTGAATATGTGGTTTTCTACTGTTTCATTGTGTATATATGAAGTATATCTATGTGTATATTTATTTTTGCCTCCTGCTCGGTCTAAAGATTCAGTCTAAATTCTTAAAGATTAGTGATAAAGAAAGATTTAATCAGTAACAAAGCTCTGTAGAACAAGAGCTGTTTTATTTCACTGTGTCTTCAGGATGACTGCTAACCTCCCTCTAATATTAAAATGTCTCTTCATTTTTATTTGTGCTTGTTTTCCTGTGAAAATTAATGCAGTCAGCTGTTTTTATTTAAAATGAACTTTGTAAAGGTTTTCAGTTTGTCCTCTCCTGTCTTTGTTGTCACTGTGGACCTGATGAACCACATTTGGTGTCCCTGTGTGGACAGAGCCACTTTGACCCACATCAGGATGCAGTCAGACAGAAAACACCAGATCTGGGTCAGAGAGGGTTAAAACCAGACATGTCTTTGTTTGGGGGCTTTGTTCAATTTTTTATTTATTTTACAAATATGTCTGAATCTTCTGTTCAACAGCAGCTCAGTCTGGCTCCTGCTGTGATGTGTCATTGTGGCTAATGGAGAATCTGAGGAGCACATGTTACCCTTTATTTCTATGTTGTTATTAATATTATTATTATTATTATAATTATTATTATTATTATTATTATCATAAATGTTCACAATTCAAAATGACAAAAGCGACATCTGTACATCTACTGTTTAAACATAAAATCCCACAGTCGTGCAGTTTGAACAGATGGTCACACTGGTTATATCTGATGTTATATGATGAACTGGAGCTTCAAGAGAAACATTATTTATTTGGGCTGAAATGACTTTTTTTCCTTTATTAGAGTAGCAGTGAGAGAGAGACAGTAAAGTCAGGGGTGAGAGACAGAGGGAATGACATGCTGCAAAGGGCCCTGGGTCAGAGTCCTAATGGTACGAGCTCTACCAGGTGAGCCACCCAGGTGCCCCAGAAATGACGGGTTTTAACAGAGTTAATATCAACTGAATTAATGTAATAAAATGTCAAAGTGTCTCATAAAACTAATCCGTTTATTTACTGAAAACAGATTAATGACAGTGTGATTTGTTTCTCAGTGATGTTTAAGAAGACCAGGTCTAAACCCAGCACATGTCTGGACATTGTGTAGTCAATGTGTGAAACTGAGGACGTAGTTGAAAACTGTTGTGGAACCTGTAAACAACTGATATCATCTCGTCCTATCATTATCAACTGGTTTCAGTCTAGTGCCAGCTGGTTTCAGCTCTTCTCTTCTCTCTTACTCTCTGTGCTCACATATACAGTATTTTAATACAGTTGAATTCACAATAAGCTGTTGTTATTAACATGTTTTTCTGTTTGAAAAAGCACTGCAGACGGTGAAACTTCCTAATTGAAACTGTGTCAATTGATTTTGAAAGAGCAACAGCCAATGAAGAAACTCTAACTTACACTTGGCATTCAGTTGACCAGTGGTGGAACTATGATCTGTCAGTCAGTCAGTCAGACAGATAGTTAGTCAGTCAAACAGACAGTCAATCAGTCAGTCAGTCAGTCAGACAGACAGTAAGTCAGACAGTCAAGCAGTCGGACAGTCAGTGAGTCAGACAGTTGGTCAGACAGTCAGACAGTCAGACAGTCAGTGAGTCAGTCAGTCAGTCGACAGTCAGTCTGTTTAGTCAGTTTAGTGATGTGTATCTTATGAATCTGTTAAAAAGGCGGGTACTAACTGGACTATACATACCACCCCTATCAGAGTGGTACAGTCCATCTCTCCAATGTAGTGTATGAAGATATTGTTGAAGTGAGTTCCAGTGACTAGTTGTGTTTTTGGGTGCTGATGCTTGTGTCTTCACTGTCGTATGTCCATTGACCTGTAAGTTTGTTAAGTATGATAGACTAATATAGATGAGACATCACAAACTAATATGGTTTCCAGTACATTCCTCTTTGTGATGATAATCTTCAGTACTGTTAGTCATGCTCATCAAGCCCAGTTAGCTTGAATGCTTGCGGTGTTGGTTTCCTTCTGTTCAGAGCCTGAACTTCATTCACTACATTCAGTGTTAATTCTTTGATCATTTGCATTCTAAACTTGTTGTATATTTCTGTTCACATTTAATCTGAGCACATTTCAACCTCTTTATGACTGTACATTCAAATGTCTATTTAACCATACTATTGTAGTCACATTATCTTGTGTGAGTCTCATAGTCTCATAGACTTTGATGATCAAGTTGCTAGATTCTACTCTAGCATTAGTGTTCCACCTGTTGGCTGAACCTGTTTATTCAAGCTAGTATTTTATGTCATTGTTTGTATTATATTATTCTTATATTGTTGATTTCTCCTCATTCTAGAAACCACAGAAACATAAACCCACACCCACACAAAGGCATCTTCTTACACACCCTATCAAGAGTTTGTTCACTAATAAAGTTTACAGCGTCCAGACTACTGGTGATTTAATCAGGTGGGATCAAGGTATATAAGAGAGAGGTCAGTCTCTCTCTTTTTCTGTGTGTAACTGATTTTCATATCAATACTGTCTTTGTCTTCTACCATGTGACCTCTGAGGAACTCCACAGTGATCACAAATATCTAATGTAACACTTACTATGTTCACTGTTTTTGAACTGCAACACACATGAAAAAGTAACTGTGGGTTTTAATTAAACTATTAGCTGCAAATGATAATGTTTATGCTTTAATTCAATGTGAAAATATGACAGAACACATTTTCCTCAGTGGAGGTTAAAACAGCTGACAGGATTTAGAACATGAGAAGTTGCCACCTGAATGTTTCTATAATCATCTTTGCTAATAAAAAAGAATGAGAAAGGATCAAAGGTTCAATAAGACATGAGTTAGATTTTAGTGAATTCAGTAACTTATCAAGCTGGAACTGAATCCAAGATACAAACTGCTATCAGATCCCAAACATATCACTTATTACTGTTTCATATTTCATCACAGTGAGAGGTAAACAAAGTTATGAAAATGACAAATACAGTCCTCATGTAAACAGAAGGCCACAATCAGTCCATCAGCTGACAGTCTGACGCAGTATCACAAAGAGACGTCAGTCTGTTGTTATTGATATTCTGTTCCAAGATGGAGCCTCTTTCACAACAGTGAAGGTTTCTGATACAGCTCCTGAGTTTTAAGGTTACAGAGTGTTTCTCCAGACAGGCAGTTTGACTCTCTGCGAGATCTCTACACATGAACAGCATGAAAATAATTTACTGACCTTTGAGACTGTACATTTGGATTTAACAGATTCTGATGAAACATACAGTCTGTCTTCTGAAATGACTGTGTGTGGTAGAAAAGGGTTTTAGCGTCAGTGGGTCTCCTGACCTGCAGTACTAACTGTGGCCACTACATGAATATTATGTGATGACTAGCCCACAGCTGCTGCTGGGGTCTGGAAAAAAGTCACAGTTTGATGTAGAATGCCACTGGGAAATAACGTAGTTAAAGGTCGAAGGTCATAGGCGGGATTACATCATTATCTTTGCTATGCAACTAACTAATTAATCTACTGTAATTTAGTAGTAGGGCTGTAAGAGCAATCTGATCTACACATGGTCTCTACAGACTACACCATGATTACTGCAATGATCCACATCAACCACAGCCGACTTGTTTTCCTTCAGTTTTATTATTTATCAGTGCACTGTGCACAGGATTATGGATACATGACATCTCATCAGAAGGATTATGAGGACATCATCACCTCACGAGATGTTTATAAGGACATTATGTCACACTGGGAGGTACATGATGTCATACCTGTTACTGGTTCATGACATCATTCTAGGAAGATAAATGGTATATGGTGTTCTACAGGATTATGAGGACATGAAATTCAGCTGAGATGATTATGAGGACATGACGTAATGCGATGAGTGCTACAGGTACCTGAGGTTGTACAGGATTATAAGGACATGAGAGCATGTCGACTTGATTACAGCGACATTACTGGTCCATGACATCATGCCATGAGAATGAAAGACACAAGTCGTTCTACAGGATTACAGAGACATGACGGATTACAGAGACATGACAAAAAGACGTCAGGTCATAAGGATTTCCTCTACAAGATGTTTTACAGGTTTATGAGGACATGTCATCCCATCATCAATACTACAGGGATATAATGCCCTGATAAAAGGAACAGATCAAACCAGGAGGATTATGAAGTCTACCAAGACTTTACAGGTGTATGACATCATCAGGTTCTATAGGATTATTGGTGCAAGATATCCTGTCAAAGGATTATAAAGACATGACATCATCATTATGAAGATCATGGACACCTGACATCCTACAGGATTATGTGTGAACTAAAGTTGTACGTTACAGTTTGGACTCTGGGCAAATTCAATATTTTATTCATTTTTGAAGTGATGAACCAAACTTTCACACATAGCCATCATTCCAATTAAGTCAGGAAGGTTATGAGAACTGAGATGATTATGAGGATATGATGTATACTAGGAATTTAAGTTTTTCCTTAATGTTTACAGGCACATGACATCCTGCTGAGATGATCACATGACATCCTGCTGAGATGATCACGTGACATCCTGCTGAGATGATCACGTGACATCCTGCTGAGATGATCACATGACATCATGCCAGGACCACAGAGCTGCCATTAATTCATCATGTTGTCCCCAGGGCTCTTTGATGAAGCTGTTTTACTCTGTTTTCACTGTGATGTATTGAGGAAGTTGAATCATGTCCAGCTTAGAGTTTACCTGTGGTCAACAAACCATCAGAAATACCTGGGAAAAGGTCCAAACACAAAATTGCGTCCTTTGAGACTGTGGCCACAGATCCAGTCATAGTGAGTGTTGTTGGCAAGTTGTGTCGTCCCACAAATATAAAACCAGGACTTGCTTTCATCACATTAGTAGTTGTTTCATCCTCCATAACTCCATGTCTGTTGATGTTCTCAGCTGTTGGACGGCTGTTCTGGTTTCAGTCGGATGGCCCAGGAGTTGGCAGAAACAATGTCCCCTCGTCGATGGATGCGACAGGTGTAAACACCCTCATTGAACTCGTTGGCGACGATGCGAAGGTCTCGGTCCTTCATGACAATGTAGCCAGGGATGGAGGTCAGGATCTGCTCACCGTCTTTATACCAGCTGCAGAAAACAGCAAATAAGAACATCAGTCATCAACATCAAGGATTTACATGATTATATCTTTGGATGTTGGACAGGAGGTTTCCATGGTCTCGTTAGATTTTAATGATGAAAGCTTGGGAAACAACAAGTGACTTGGACATTGTGGAGAGATTAAGTATAAAGGTTATTTATGTTTTAGTTCAGAGTATTTATTTTCTTCTATCCAAGAATATCTATCTATCTATCTATCTATCTATCTATCCACAGTCTCTGACTCATCTACAGTCTTCATGTTTTTTGGCTCATGATCATAGTCTGCATTGTTGATCAGCTGACCTGACTTTGGGTGGAGAGCGGGGATTTTTTGTTCCACAGCGGAAACCCACCACCTTCCCTCGGGGAACCATCTTGATCTTGATGTTGGCTGGAGGTGGCGTTGGCGTGGTCACTGCTTCCAAAGGCTCTGTGGAGGGAAACAGATACAGACAGGAAATGATTTTCATACCAGGGATGGTTTGACAAATGGACAGACCTGAGAGAGAATCTTTTTTCTGACAGTCCAGCTGCAGCAGCACAGTAGAGAAGACTTTAAATGAGACTACTAGGGAACCAGAGGCCACACTTATGATTCAGACTCACCATAGCAGAGGTCACAGCGCTGAGGACAATTCTTCTTCATGAAGGTCTTCCTCCGTTCACAGAAGCCGAGTTTAGCCCAGGGATCACAGACTCTCTTCTTATCCAGACAACCTGCAGATGGAACAGGTGAACAACATCAACCTGCAGATGGACAAGGTGAACAACATCAACCTGCACACGAACAGGTGAACAACATCAGCCTGCAGACAGAAAAGGTGAAGAACATCAACCTGCAGACAAACAGGTAAACAACATCAACCTACAGACGGAACAGGTGAACAACATCAACCTGCACACAAACAGGTGAATAACATCAAGCTGCAGACGCACAGGTGAACAACATTTACTGTATGGTACTGTTAAACTACCACTCAGCTCTGTGAGCAGTGATCTCAAGTAATCTGTTTTAGTTTACAGGAGTTAATGTGTAAAACACTAATGTGTATAAATGTATATATAGATTTCAACAACATGGAAATATTCACCATCCATACCATTGTCTTATTTAATCCTATCTACCAGCACCCTGTCACAGATCTGTTCATTTGCTGAGGTTAGGTAATGTGTAAACAAATGTTTTAATTTGAAAGCAGTGGTACGCCTTTATTGTGAAACAATCACAGGAAGTGTTGGGCTCCCTGTAGATGATTAAGACCTGGACTATGAACCACAACAGACCTGGTTCATGTCTGTCCTCTCTGTTCTGTCTTTGTCCAATAAGATTATTTGAATTACTTGAATCAGTGAATTCGACCTTCAGAGCAGTTGTTGACATGTTTACTGCTTCTTTTTGTGAAGTTGGTGTGAAACAGATGTCATGTCTGACAACATGATGGAGAGCAGCTCAGAGAACAAGCAGGACCCTGGGACAGGACTCTGGTCCAGTATCTGGACTCCACATGATGAACATTACCATAGAGTCTCTGGATGCCCCAGACGTCATCCTGAGCGATGTTCCTCTGTCCCGTGTAGGTGGCATTGGGATGCATTAGGGCCTGAGGGTCTCTGGAGTGCCACAGGCCGAGAGCGTGACCGATCTCATGAGCCGCCACCTGGACCAGGTCGTTCAGCCATACACCTGCAGAACCAGAAGAAGTCAGTCTACATGACAACAAAGACAAACAGACCACAGTCATCTAAACACACTGAACTGTCAGTGTCCTTAGGGTGGTGCCAGAGGAAAGGTCATGTTGTAAATCAGAGGGTTGATCCTCTGTATGGTGCCCTTTCAGGACATGTCAGACTCTCACTGTCAGAGTTAGACCAACTGTCTAATGTTTGTTTCCACCAAATAGCCCGAGCTCCTACAGAGTGCACTGTACAGTCTGCTGAGAGTTTGAAGGTTATTTACAGTAAGAAGAAAAAACCTGACTGACCTGGTTAGAATGACCCATTTGAAGTCACAGATGTAGACAATCACAGTGTCTCTGAGCTGATATCACACAAATAGTTGTAATCTCTGTGTCTTTATTGAACTCAGTCATTAAACCTTCTAAACTCTGGTGGAAACAGTCAGTGAGCCTTGGATTTAATAACTGGTTGAACTTTCTCTGAAACCAGCTCTTCCAGTAGGTGCTGATCAGACCTGCTCAATGTTCAGGAGGAAGTTTGCACCATTCTTTTTATATAGCTGCTTCAGTCAGATATGTTCTCAGGATGTCTGGTGTGAATGGCTCTCTGAGCTCAGTCCATAGCTTCTCTACTGGATCCAGGTCTGGGCTCTGACTGGACCTCTCCAGAGGGTGGATTTTCTGTGATGTTTTGGGTCATTGTCCTTTTAGTGACCTCGGCTTTATGCCTTAAGCTGTTACTCTGAGCTTCTTTGTTGCTGATCATCTGTGTTGAGCTGCTGGAGTCATCTCAGCTGGACATCCACTTGTATGGTGAGTAACCACAGAACTGAATTATATCAATTTATAGATAGATTGTCTGACTGTGGACTGATGAAGATCTAAACTCTGAGACTCTTTCAGCTTCATGTTCATCAACTCTTGTTCATCCTCAGTCTCTGAGATCTTTGTTGTGAGACCTGGTTCATATCAGATGATGTTTCCCTAAATGTCTGAGTGTTGTTTTTAAGTCAAAGTTTCTCTAACGTACAACCTCCAATCTGGTTTCACTGACTGACTCCAGGTCTGATAACTCATGACTCCAGTTAGCTTCTGTTCACACACTGTTTCAGATGCACTGTTAATATTTGAACAAGAACAACACAATGATGTGTGTTATTAGTTAAAGCCAATTGTGTTTGTTCATTATTGTAACTTAGATGAAGATCTGATCAGATTTAAGCAAAATTTATGGATAAATGGAGGTGATTCTAAAGGTTCACTGACATTTTCTTGTTGCTGTAGAAGAACCTCAAAGAACCTCAGAGAACTGCAGAACCTCGAGATTCAGCACTGCAAACATCAGGGACAACGGACATTACGACCCAAGGAACAGGGAATAAATATTGACCCTGGAACTAAAGTTCTCTTCAGTTGGTCTCTTCAGTTGAAACACAGGCACAGTCCTGGAAAAGTTCCTGCTGTAAAAAGTCATTATGATTTATCCTGAACCTGAAGCTCTGAACCAAACTTCATGGTCGTAGATCATTTAATTGTAGAGATATTTTACTATGAATCAAAATGATTCAAGGCAAGGTGCCTCCTTATTTTTTTTTTTTTTAAGTTATTTTTTTGGGCTTTTTGTGCCTTTAATGGACAGGACAGTAGAGAGACAGGAAATGGGGAGGCAGAGAGAGGGGGAATGACACGCAGGAAAGGGCCGTCTGATGAGGGAGTCGAACCGGGGGCCAGCTGCAGTGAGGACTGTAGCCTCTATATATGGGGCGCCTGCGTAACCCACTGCGCTACGCGACGCCCCAGGTGCCTCCTTATTAAATAAGATCACTCTTTATTAAACACCCTCAACTATGAGAGGAGTTTTAGAGCAGGAAAAGTACAATAGCATGTGGTTTTAGATGTCAGTTATATGCGAATGATGCTCTGTTATATGTCAGTGATTGTCTCACCTGTTGTCTGTCTGACTCTCTGGTTACTACAGTTACATTATGTCTGTATCTTCAACATTATTTACTATAATAATGTAACTACAGCTACGACTTGTTCTACTACAGCTGTCTGTAGTCCTGCCTCCTCTCCAGCACTACTGTTCAATCACCTTGTTTCCAGCTGAACCTGGACTTGCCAAGGATCCAGAACTCGTGGTTGTCAAAGTGGATTTCTCCCCGTGGCGGGAGGAAAGCGTGAGCCAGCTCACCATTCAGACCGTCGAAACACGGGTGGAGAGGAGACCACCAGCAGTCTGTGTGGTTAAAGGTGTAGAAACCTAACACACACAAACAGGTTTCAAGTTTATAAAACCACTCTCTGTGGATGTCACAGCAACCATACCTCCCATCCCCCACCCCGTCCTCCCCTCTCCTCCTCGTACCGATGGTGATGTCAGCTGTGGCGTTGCCGTCAGTAACCTCAGTGAAGGTCAGGGGAGACACGTCGCTCCACTTGGTGAAGGCGATGCTGATGGCCTTCCTGGTGTCCTCCACATTCAGAGTGTTGGGGAACTTGATGATCCTGAAACACAGAGACAGGCTGAGGGGACGTCTGATTGGTGGAGCTCATTGAGCCTGGCAAACACAATTAAAGGTAAAACAACCTCACTGTTGAAGGCAGGCTGGCCAATCAGAGGGCAGTCAGGGCAACAACAGCAGCAGAGTCAGAGGATTTATTTTACAGTAAAGATAAAACCTGGGAACACCTGTCCAACTCATGACCAGGTACTGTAGAACACTAACTCCACCCAGATCACGATCACATGCCACTGAAACATCCACCTCCACACCTGGTGCAGTTCACCTGTCCATTGCCTGCAGGTGTTTATGACTCAGCTGACAAGTGAGGACTAACCACTCCCTCTGCTTCACAGGTAACAAATGTTCATTCAGCAGCCCACTGACATTTGTACTAAAGATCAGGTCAAAGGTCAGAGACTGAACACAGAACTGAAGAAACACACTGCTGCACCAGAGAGCTTCATTGGAGCTGCAGTTTTTTACGTAGTCAGTGGTGGAGTACATTTACTCTACTCTTTACTTACTTATTTTTTGTATATGTATATACATGTGTTATTTTATTGTGGTAGTACTTTCATCCACCACTTGAATGAAGCTGAGACTCTGAAACTTTTTCCGTGATCACAGTGTTAAACTGTGTTAAAGAGCAAGCTAACAAGCAGGCTAAGAAGGAGGCTAATGAGCAGTCGAGCGGGGTACCTGTCCCTCTACCTGTATGTGATGTTGTGATGAGTCCATTTGTGTCCCAGAGGGTTGATGGCGTAGCGTTTGGTTCTGGTTGCTCTGTGGACCACGTGGTCGGGGGGGGTGTCCTTCACTCTGCTGCTGCTTGACGTCTGAAAACACAAAACAACCAGATCATTGACCATTCCGCTGCCTCCCCTAAGCTGCACTTCCTCTGACGTCCACCAGAGGCTGCTGTGACCAAGCACTCCCTGAGCTGGTTCTGGACTGTGTGTCTCTGGTGTGCGTTTGGTCACATGACCAGTGTTAGTGCTGGTGTGTGTAGATGTGGCAGCAGACTGATTCCATACAGATGTGAAACACTTCTTTCTCTCTCTCTCTCTCTCGCTCTAAGAAATCTGTCACCCACATGTGAACTGTACTGTGAAGCTCCTCTGATCCTTCAGGTCCGACTACAGGGTCCAGACTACACGGTCCAGACTACAGCCCTGACACAGGAGCTGTTTATCATACAGTCCACCGTGTGATGGGTCTTTACTCAGACTGGGTCAGGGATTCGCAGTTTCTCTCCTCACCTCGTTACCTCTGTATGACTCTCCTCATTATTGTGTTGACACGCTCACTAGTATCCTGGTTTTGTTTTGGGCATGTAAACACCTGATCCTGGTATCTGAACCATCTCATGGGGGCTGAGATGATGAGATCAGGACAGACCTGCAGAAACAGGGGCATAAACAACCTGGTTCTGGTTCTTGTTCCATGTAAAAATCATATTTTGAATGTGATTAAAACCAGGAAACTAACACATGCCAACACAGCCAACACAGTGGATGAGTCACAGTAGATTCAGGTTACTGTCATTTAAAACTGTGGTTTAACATTTAAATCATTCTGTTGTGAAACTGTTGACTTGTGTTCTGAATTCATCCCAGATGTTTCCAACGGTCTTCAAACCAGAGAAATCTGTGTCCAACAGAGACAACACACAACAAAAACACACAACATTGTCTCCTCTAACACATGATGGACCTCAACAGTATGAACTAGCCCAGGATCTTATGGTCTGGCTCATGAATTTCCCCTAGGGGATAAATAAAGTATCTATCTATCTATCTATCTATCTATCTATCTATCTATCTATCTATCTATCTATCTATCTATCTATGTAACAGGTCTGGCTCGTCCACGTTCAGAGGTAGGACGTACCTGTTATGAATTCTTCTCCTTTTTGTTCTTCACACTGATCTTGAATCAGGAGGAGATGGAGGAGCAGGAGTCTGGTCTGAGCAGCTGACTGTTCGGAACTTTATATTTTATCAGCGACTGTAAAGGTGGACCTGTACACACCTGTGTGACTGCAGTGTTGGTTCTCTTCATGTTTAGTGCTGATGATACAATCCAATCAGGATCAGACCCTCAGAGCTCAGCAGGTTCAGACTCTGCTGGTTCAGTCTCATCGCTTCATGTTTGTCTGCAGTTTTTTTGGGTTGTTTTCAACTTATACAACTCAAATACACATGTAAATAAATAAATAAATAAATAAATAAATAATCAATAGTCATGTTTTTTTTTAAACAGTGGTGAATCAAATCAGGTTTCTATTGAGGACTGAAGTTTTTCATTCTAATAGAATCAATAAAGTTGATGAAAACCACGTTTTGCAAGCTGACTTATAGTGCCAGGGGCCACTCACAGAGAAGCAGGGGCCACTCAGACTCTTTGTCTATGGTTGAAGATGCAGATGAATGGATTGACAGAAAACTGATCAGCAGCTGATTGATTATCAACACTTGTTACTTCAGTTTCTCTTCCTCAGACATTTGATCTGATCTTATCACAGATAAATCGATTAAACATGTGATTCTGGTTTTGATCATTGATCACTTAAAATCAGTGAGAGAAGCTGCAGCCTGGGGAGTTTTCGGTTTCAGTGAACAATTATAAGTCATTGCTAAGGATACTGATGTCAGTGCCACATTCAGAACTTGAACCGACGATTTAATAAACTCATCAATAAATCAATCAACCAATCGGAGCCCCAGTTCACTCACCTTCATCATCATCAGCATCATCATCATCACCATCAGCTGCTGAAGTGCGTCCATGATGAGAACTGGAGTCAGAGATCTACTCGGTCCGACACATGACCCGCCTGTCAATCAATCAATCAATCAATCAATCAATCAATCAATCAATCAATCAATCAATCAATCAATCAATCAGCTTGTCTGTGTGACGTCATGAGAAGAAAAGATAGAAGTCTCAGGTTTCATCAGGATCTTCTTGAACCAGGAGAACCGACCTGGAGCTGCATAAAACCGCCCCCTGATCTGAGCGAGAAAAAAAGAGGAAAGATTCGAACCAGACAAGAGCCGAACCGTCCCGGATAAGTCCGTGTCCTCGCTCCTCCTCCGGGTTCCTCTTAGTCCTCTGTCCCTCTGTCAAAGACTAGATAACTCGGGTCGATCAGAGTGTGGACCCGGTGCCTCCTACTAGGCTCTGGAACAAACTGAGGGAACTTCCCGGACAGTGCGCTTGCTGCAGCAGTGGGTCTGGTCCGGAGGGGCGGGGTCAGGTGTGTGTGTGTGTGTGTGTGTGTGTGTGTGTGTGTGGTTTCCATTTACACAGAGAGGATAAATGTGGAGTTGAACCCTTTTAGTGCAGATCTACTGACAGAATGTGACTCTGGCTGTGAGGGGACGGGTCGTCAAGGTTCCTGCTCTTCGTCTCTGATGAGCTACAGTAAAAATCAAACATTTATTCTTTTTAATCTTACTCTGTCTGCAGTGTGGGACCTTTGTCTCTGGATCTGAACAGCACATAAACAAACTCAGGCCTGGTTCTTGTTTTTGCATCTGGGGGCCTCTGCGGCCCTGAGGTTCAGGGCCACAGGTAGGGCCACCCTGAGGTGTTTTCCCACCAGCAGCAGTCCAGATGTGCAGCGTTTCTCTTGTCTTTCCTCAGAACATCTGTCCAAACATCCACCACTGATGCAGACCCTCGATCATCAGCTTCCTGTCAATGAGACCAAGACCACATGAGAACTCAGAGAATCTCTGGAGTCTCCTGGTTTCTGCTGTGACTGCATAGTTCACATGTTGCCTCCACTTTCTCCTGTGATAACATGCTGTTGGTAAAATTCTACTTATAATTCAATATATATTTTCATATTTGTTGTTCAGTCCAGATGTCTGTCCTTCATCATCTGGATCAGTTTCCTCTCAGATGAACAAAAAATTATAACTAGTCTGGTTCCTGTTACATCAACAAACAGGTTTAGTCTACATTAGTGGTCTGTGGTATGATGGTCTTATGGTCTGGTGGTCTGACAGACCAATGGTCTGATGGTCTTATGGTCTGGTGGTCTGACAGACCAATGGTCTGATGTTCTGTTGGTCTGGTGGTCTGACAGACAGATGGTCTGGTGGTCTGATGGTCTGGTGGTCTGGTGGTCTGATGAACTGTTGTCTAATGGTCTGACAGACCGATGGTCTGGTGGTCTGTTGGTCTGGTGGTCTCACAGGCCAATGGTCTGGTGGTCTGATGGGCTGGTGGTCTGGTGGTCTGATGAACTGTTGTCTAATGGTCTGACAGACCGATGGTCTGGTGGTCTATTGGTCTGGTGGTCTGATGGTCTGGTGGTCTGATGGACTGTGGTCTAATGGTCTGACAGACTGATGGTCTGGTGGTCTGTTGGTCTGGTGGTCTGACAGGCCAATGGTCTGGTGGTCTGATGGTCTGATGGTCTGATGGTCTGATGGTCTGATGGTCTGATGGTCTGATGGTCTGATGGTCTGATGGTCTGATGGTCTGATGGTCTGATGGTCTGATGGTCTGATGGTCTGATGGTCTGATGGTCTGATGGTCTGATGGTCTGATGGTCTGATGGTCTGATGGTCTGATGGTCTGATGGTCTGATGGTCTGATGGTCTGATGGTCTGATGGTCTGATGGTCTGATGGTCTGATGGTCTGATGGTCTGATGGTCTGATGGTCTGATGGTCTGATGGTCTGATGGTCTGATGGTCTGATGGTCTGATGGTCTGATGGTCTGATGGTCTGATGGTCTGATGGTCTGATGGTCTGATGGTCTGATGGTCTGATGGTCTGATGGTCTGATGGTCTGATGGTCTGATGGTCTGATGGTCTGATGGTCTGATGGTCTGATGGTCTGATGGTCTGATGGTCTGATGGTCTGATGGTCTGATGGTCTGATGGTCTGATGGTCTGATGGTCTGATGGGTTGTGGTCTGGTGGTCTGGTGGTCTGTGGTCTGATGGTCTGATGGTCTGATGGGTTGTGGTCTGGTTATCTTATGGTCTGTTAGTCTGTAGTCTGATGGTCTAATGGTCTGTGGTCTGATGGTTTCTTGAACTGATGGTCTAATGGTCTGTTAGTCTGTAGTCTGATGGTCTGATGGTTTGTTGGACCGAGGGTCTAATGGTCTGATAGTCTGTCTTATGATGGTCTGATGGTTTGCGGTCTGATGGTTCATTGGTCTGATGGTCTGGTGGTCTGAACATCTGATGGTTTGTGGTCTGGTGGTCTGGTGGCCTGATGGCCTGTGATCTGATGGTCTTTAGTCTCATGATTTGTGAGATGGTTTGTTGGTTTATTGGTTTGTTGGTCTGATAAGCTGATGTTTTGTGGTATGATGGTCTGATGGTTTGTGGTCTAGTGGTCTGTGTTCTGATGGTTGGTTGGTCTGTGGTCTGATGGTCTGTGGTTTGTTGGTCTGATGTTTTGTGGTATGATGGTCTGTTGGTTTGATGGTCAACTGGTCTGATGGACTGATGGTCTGATGGTCTTTTGGTCTGATGGTCTGTTGGTTTGATGGTCTGTTGGTCTGATGGCTTGTGGTCTGTGGTCTGTGGTCTGGTGGTCTGGTGGTCTGATGGTCTGATGGTCTGTTGGTTTGATGGTCTGGTGGTCTCTTGGCCTCATGGTCTGTGGTCTGGTGCTCTAATGTTCTGATGATCTCATGGTCTGATGGTCTGATGGTCTGTTGGTCTGATGGCCTGTGGTCTGGTGCTCTAATGTTCTGATGATCTCATGGTCTGCAGTCTGCAGTCTAGTGGTCTGGTGGTCTGATGGTCTGTTAGTCTGTAGTCTGATGGTCTGATGGTTTGTTGGACTGATGGTTTGTTGGACCGAGGGTCTGATGGTCTATGGTCTGTCCTGTGATTGTCTAATGGTTTGTTGGTCTGATAATCTAATGTTTTGTGGTATGATGGTCTGATGGTTTGCAGTCTGATGGTTTGTGGTCTAGTGGTCTGTGGTCTGATGGTCTGTGGTTTGTTGGTCTGATGGTATGATGGTCTGTTTGATGGTCAACTGGTCTGATGGTCTGGTGGACCGATGGTCTGTTTGATGGTCAACTGGTCTGATGGTCTTTGGTCTAATGGTCTGTGGTCTGGTGGTCTGATGGTCTGATGGTCTGAAGGTCTCATGGTCTGTTGTTCTGATGGTCTGGTGGTCTCTTGGCCTCATGGTCTGTTGGTCCGTTGGTCTGTTGGTCTGTTGGTCTGAGGGTCTGGTGTTCTGTGGTCTGATGGTCTGTTGGTCTGTTGGTCTAATGGTCTGGTGGTCTGGTGGTCCGGTGGTCCGGTGGTCTGCGGTCTGTGGTCTGGTGGTCTGGTGGTCTGATGGTCTGCGGTCTGCGGTCTGCGGTCTGCGGTCTGCGGTCTGCGGTCTGCGGTCTGGTGGTCTGGTGGTCTGGTGGCCTGATGGTTTGTTGGACTGATGGTTTGTTGGACCGAGGGTCTAATGGTCTATGGTCTGTCTTGTGATGGTCTAATGGTTTGCGGTCTGATGGTCCGGTGGTCTGATGGTCTGTGGTCTGGTGGTCTGGTGGTCTGTGGTCTGGTGGTTTGTTGGTTTCAGATGAAGATATAGAACAATAACTCCAGAGTAAAACCAGCAACAGTAGAGGTGATCAATGGGTTAATTCATTGACTACTTGATCAACAGAAAATCAACTTTTAAAAGTATTGACCAAAGTAAGAAAAGAGTTGAAGATTTGTTTCTTTTCTTTTTTATTATCTTAATAAACTAAATTGAGATTTATTCAATCAATCAATCAATCAATCAATCAATCAATCAATCAATCAATCAATCAATCAATCAATCGAGGAATTAATCAGCAGATTGATCCAGAGTGAAAATCATCATCAGTTATAGTCTGATATATAACAGTAAATTGCTGTTTACACATTAAAACACCAGTAACAGTGATATAATGACAGAACATATAACAGTAGAGGACAGAACACAGAACAGAGAACAGTCACAGTACCTTTACTGTTTATACTTGAGTATGTGTGTAAGTGTACTGTTACTGCAGTACTGCAGTATGTGAGTACACACACACACACACACACACACACACACACACACACACACACACACACATTTCTGTCAGATTTCTTATTGTTTATATTTTGTGTATTGTGTATCGTGTGTGTATTGTGTTACAGTGTGTGTATCGTGTTAGAGTGTGTTGTGTGTATTGGGTTACAGTGTGTTTATCGTGTTAGAGTGTGTTGTGTGTATTGGGTTACAGTGTGTTTATCGTGTTAGAGTGTGTTGTGTGTATTGGGTTACAGTGTGTTTATCGTGTTAGAGTGTGTTGTGTGTATTGGGTTACAGTGTGTGTATTGTGTTGGATTGCGTGTTGTGTGTCTTGTTTATCTGTCCGCCCACACTCACAGCCTCGTCCAGCTCGGTCACCTTCAGCCTGACAAACTGCCTCATCAGATGCTGCATGTTAAGCAGCCGGCGCTCATTAAAGCTGCATTGTGAGCTGGACCAGGTCTGAATGTTGGCAGCTGAGCTGCCTGGCAGACTCCCATCATGCACTGCAACAATACTCTGACCTACCTCTGAATCTTTGTTTGTGGGCAGCGAAGCTTCAGATCAATATGTCGAGAGAAATCTGAGACCAGAACCATCTGAGACCATAACTATCTGAGACCAGAACCATCTGAGACCAGAACTATCTGAGACCAGAACCATCTGAGACTAATACCATCTGAGACCAGGACTATTTGAGACCAGAACCATCTGAGACCAGAACCATCTGAGACCATAACTATCTGAGACCAGAACCATCTGAGACCAGAACTATCTGAGACCAGAACCATCTGAGACCAGGACTATTTGAGACCAGAACCATGTAAGAGGATATTTTGCTGCTGTCTGTCAGCTCCTGATAAAGACAATCCAGATCTGTGAAGACTGAATGTCTCATCATCATCATCATCATCATCATCATCATCATCATCATCATCATCATCATCATCAGTCATCCTCAGATACTTTCACTGTCAGTGAGAGGTTGACAAGAACCTTTCTACTATACTGTATATACACAGTAGAAAAGTCAAAGTCCTGTATTCAACATATTCTGATTCAACTTCAGTAAATGGACTTAGTGACTTTATGTTTAAGTAAGATATCAAAATAAAACCTTACCAACAA